ACAAAGTGACACCGAACGATTTCCAGAGATTTTTCTCTCTATTATCAACAAATGTTCCCCCTCGAATCACATCTCCCTCTCCGAATAACTTTGTCTCCTTCCGAATAATACACATGTATAAACGAATTTTGTCTGACTCCGACATTTGTCTACTTTTCGCTATTGAGAAGGAAGGTTCTCTTTCCATGATCTAATTTGTCACATAATTTTGTGAGATCATACGAGATTGCTGGTCGCAAATATAGGTATGTTAATTTAACTTATGCCACGCTTCTTAATTGTACATTGGAATTTATTTACTATCTGTTGTTAATAGCTTTGGGAAGTTTATATATGTGCGCACAACTTTTGAAGAACAAAGAACTTCTTCTTGTAATACTTTTTGGAATTTTGTTATAAAATCGAGACGAATCAATATTAATTTCAATTGAAGATCATAGAACGAGACATAGTTTATAATAATACGACTAAGGCAATTTTATTAATTTATTGTAACAGATTATTTATAATTAATAAGAGTATTTACGAGATATAATTTTGTAATGGTAAATAATGATATTAGACATATAATTACTGATGATGGTTGAAAATTGTGACCGAAACGTTTAATTTTCATATTTTATTGTAATTTAATAAATTGACTCCGCAAATGTTATCTAACGTTGTGGCTGTATGCTTTATTTTATTTGTGTTTTTAAAAAAACGACCCCATTTGAAAAAGAAGAAAGTGCTGTTCTATCAAGATAACGCACCGTCTCACACTTCGGCGGTCGCTATGGCAAAAATTCACAAATTGCAGTTTGAATTAATTGACCATCCACCGTATTCACCAGATCTGGCCCCCAGCGACTTTTTTCTGTTTCCTTGGCTCAAAGTTTGGCTCAAAGGACAGAAATTTTCATCGAACGAGGAGAAATTTTCATCGCATCCGTAGACGCCTATTTTGCAAAGCAACACGCTCAGTATTATTTGAATGGATTAAAGGGGTGGGAGCATCGCTGGAAAAAATGTGTCGACTTAAAAGGAGACTATGTGGAAAAATAAAATTGAATTTGACCGAAAAATTACTTGTTTCTATGTTAGGCTCAAAACTTTTCAGACGACCATCGTAGATTGGATATCAAATCACTATTAATTATTTAATCTTTATTTTATAAATCTTTGATTTTAAGATTAAAAAGTAATATATAATATTGAAAATTATAAAAAGACCTTATTTGAACGACTTTAAGACGTCTTAAAAATGATGTCTTTAGCTGGTCTGCAAAATGACGTCTTATTGACGTCCACTATTCGCCGTTGACGTCGTGGACCAAAAATGACCACAAATAGACATCCCTATGTCGTCTTTTGACGTCAGTTTGTTACTTGGGATTCTATGTAGAAAATATTCGTCAAAGTCTCAGAAGTATTCAAAATGTTTTCAAATTTAGACTTTTATCACAGGAATTCGATCATCCTCATGTGCTACTGCAAAAGGAGACGGGCTACCTGAAAAGCATGGTGCAGGAGACCGGCACGACGATAGCGGAGGCTTTGGCCGGCATCATTCGCGATTGTTATCTGCAGAATTACACGTTTACGGCGCTTTAATAAATCCACATTTCTCGCATTTACGTTCAAAAAAATGAATAGTTTACTATATTAGAACGAATAATAACTATAGGCATTATCATTCATTACTATAGTAATAAACAGTTAATAAATGTCTGTTATTAAGAATAATTAAAAGTAAAATGTTTGTGAGATAGTCATTGGATTTAATTTGTAAAAAGTAATTTATAAAAGTAACGCAATATAATAAAATGTGTTAAGTACATATACTATTGTATCAATACATGAAGACAATAAGAAATACATGAAAAACATCTTTTTTACGCTCGTGTCTCCTCTCGGAAAAGATTGGCAACCTTCCGAAGAGTATCCTTGTAAACAGAAACACCTCTAGAAAAATCTGTCATTCAGAACTGGTACTAAAACTATTAGTCCCATATGCTTTTGCAATCGAATAATCAGCGTGCACACCACAAGCATATGAGAGAGGTAAACCCAGGCCAGAGACTTAATGTAAGAAGAAGAAGAGAACAAATATATTTACAATTAAAAACTATATATATTTTCGACCCTTGCTTGTCTTTTTCCAGTAATTTCTTAGGCAATATTGGCTTTGTAAGCGGTGGTTTCAATGCTTTCTCCTTGGAAGCATTGTGTTCGAAGCCAAAAGACGAGCGGAAAAACAGAAACACATGGAGAAACACCAATGCATGAATCTAAAATTGATATGTCAGAAACTGATAATACCATTAAAGTTAACTTAAGACAAAATTTAAACGCGCTTTTTTACTTTTGTATCCAGAGAAATATATTAAAATATATAAATAAATATAATACTATAAAACTTTCCAATAAATTGTCGCATGTTTGCGCTTGCGAAACAGCATTATACGTGAGTATATAAATGAATAAAAAAAACATTTTGCATTGAAATAAAAGAATTCTAGAAAGTCTCATATACTTGTATGTATTTTATACAGACAATTCCTGCAAAAGAAGAATAGGAATATATGAACATTACTGCCTACTATATCAGTTTGTGACTCATTTTTTCGGATGCTTATTTTTACTTATCTTACAAAAAAATTAATTATTGCAAAATTTTAAACAATATTACACATCTCTGCTATATCATCCAGTAGAAGACACTTTCTAGATTGTATTTATATTAAAAAAATTTTATTTTTACCTTTTTTAGAAATATAATTTAAGAATAAAGTGATATAATAATATCGATGACTTTCTTTTAAATTTTATTCCGTTATATATACTCGGAAATTAAAATAATATAGTGAATTGAAGCATCACCATTCTGAAAATGTTTTAAAAGAAATATGTGCCACTTGTCGTTCTGAACAATTTTTGAGATACATAACTTTTAAACTAGCTAATTATAGATTATGGTTAAACGATTATCTATCCGTGAGTCACTCGTCGATAATGTTAGTGATCGTGCACTTCACAGGCTTACAGACCTTAGACAAAAGATTGTATGTGTAACGTCCACATAATACTGTGTGGTAACATTCGTTGTGAATTAATTAATACTGTTAATAAACAAACGTAAAAAAATAAGGTAAAATTTATAATTTATCGAAATTTTATCGTTATTACTTTCTAATTTACAAAAAAAAAATAAGGTAAATTTATAATTTATCGAAATTTTATCGTTATTACTTTCTAATTTACAAAAAAAAAATATCGGAATTATGTAGCTATACTATGTGTTATTAATTTGTATACGATAATGTCAATAATAGAATTAGATGATATGAATGAAATTTAAATAGTTGTAATCAAGTGACATATACATATATGCGAGTTATTATCTCATTACAATAAAATTCTAATTTTTTTCAATTTTGTTAATTAATCTTAATTTTTCGATTTTTTAATTTTTAATTATTCCGAAAAATTTTTTGCTTATTTCTTTCGTATAATTTGTTCATTTATTTTTTCAAGAATGAACTAATTACAACATCAATTACATGCATTGATGTTAGTCTGCTGCTTATATTACGAGTATATACTTACGTGAATACTGATTTATAACTATGATCATTTTAAAATGAAATAATTCCATTTGTTATTATAATGACTTGCATTACAATAACTTATTTTTTTATTAAAAACTAAACTTCGCGTAGTTACAAACTGAAAGTTCAATTCTTCACCTCTGCGTATAACGTAACCGGTTTTTTTTTCTAATGTTGGTGTTTCTATAATTTTTTAAGTTAGTTATTATGACGGATCAGAAAAAAACCGTTAATATTTTCTCTATTTGTGATGTCAAGCACGAAATTAGTTATACAAAAACTTCGAAATAGTGAAGATTCAAAGCTAGGACATTTGAAACACTTTTATTTGAAAAATGAGAAAAAAAATTCTAAATTTCAATAGATATTTATTTAAATAGTACCAATTAAATATTTATTAAATATAAAAATATATTTATTGGGTACAAAAAACATTAATTTGATTTAACAATCACTTCTTTTTGTTAAGTAAATATTTATTTGTTGTAAGTCAATGTTTAGTTGGCAGTATTCAAATAAATATTTATTAAAATTTTTTTCAGTGTAAGACAATTGTTTTATATTTCAGCGGAGTATACAAAAATATTTTGTATTTTGTATTTCCGCGGAGGACATAAAAATATTTTGCATTTGTGTTTTAAATACTAAGATTGACAATCCAGCTTATTGAATTATAAAATACAAAAAATTTTTTATTTTTCGATTTTAAATACAAAATACCATACGTAATACTTTTATGTGCTTCGGTGAAATGCAAAACACAAAATACACTTATATTGCAAATACTACGTATTTTCAATAAAAGTACTTTAAATTATGCTCTCCCCAATTCTGTGAGGATTGAAAAAGTATCGTATATCAGAGGTAATATTTACGTAATATTTTCGCCTATGTGATCTACATAAGAAATAATAAATTTTGTCTTATTATGAGAATATTTTTACATACATATTTTTTGTTTTATTAGTTGTTCAAAACTCACTTAAAAACGAGGCATAAAATATAGAGCTCATAAATATTGTTGGACACTTGACATTGCGCTCGTATTGCCCGACTACTCATAACTCACGCTATTTCGATTACGCAACGCAAACCTACGCGTGCCAATGACGGTAGTGTGTCTGAACTCGTGCAGACTCATGCTGTCGTCGAATGTCGTCGAATGTCATAACAGTATGTGAGTTCAAAAGGATCAATTGGCATGTGACAATAATTATCCTTTTTACAATATGCCCTTTAAATAAAGAGTGAAACAAATTTAAGAATATCGTTGGCAGCTGTTGTGTTTCTGGATCAATCCTTTCATGACCGAACTTCCGCAAATCAAAGCTCTAAGAGCATCGAGAACAATCCAGAAATACAACGATATAAAAGAGACACACAGAAGTGACTCAACACAGTACACGAATTCGCTGTCGAGTTGAAACGACGAATAATCATTGCGAAGTCACTATTGTTATTTTAAAGAAGAAAGATCCTCGCGGTCGCGAAAAGTTTTTCGAAAACCTTTACTACGACTTGCAACACGAACGGAAAGTGAAGTCATTTGTTCTATTACTTGTAGTGCAAAGCCAAGAATGATCGTAACGTCAACGCTCGCGATTGTATCTTAATATATGGAATCGCTTACTCCTGAAAACGGAATCGCAATTGTAAGACACTCACTGTAAATAGTATACATAGTTATAAAATATTCAATTTGAGCAAATACATTTCACAGTAATAATCAAAGTGATTTTGCATGTGTGTGTGCGTGTGTCTTAATCCCAACTTAAACTGCGGTCCAGAGTATATTTAACTTGAGTAAATACAGTACCTGTCAAAAGTTCTGGAATGGCTAATTATCTAAGAAAGTATTGGCGCTCGCTCGCTCGCTCGCTCTCTCTCTCTCTCTCTCTCTCTCTCTCTCTCTCTCTCTCTCTCTCTCTCGGAAAACTATTTTAAATAAAAATTGTAAGGCTTAAAGGATCTATTAAGAGGCGATATTTATTTCAACTTTGGATAACCTTGAAAAGCACAGTCAAGGTCAATAAAAAAATAAATGTTAGTAAAAGTTTCCATTTAAGATTTTTTTTGTTGACCTTGAACGCGCTTTTCAAGATCACCTAGAGTTCAAATAAATACTACACCGCCTAATGGACTTTCTTAAGTCATATAATTTTTGTCTAAAACATTTTTCTCATAAACCAATGCTTTATGAGATAATTGGCTATTCCGGAACGTCGGACACGCAATACATATTAATTTTTTAAAATAGAAAGTATTTGTTTGTACAGATATAAAGATTAGAAATAAAATCAATAAAATCAAAAATAAAAATTGACAAGTAAACAATTTTTTATTAAACTAGTTAAATATAAAATATTATAAAATGTTTTGAACATTTATTACAGTCATTATTACAATTATTATTGACAAAATAGAATTAATAAATTGCATAAAACCACGAACGCAAGATGTTAGTAGCGAATAAATATATATTTCATAAGTTACAATACATAGACGTTTCGGTCTTAAATCAGACCATTCTCAGTAATAAAAAAACCAAGTGAGAGTTATAAATACAAATCAAAATCCGCAAACGTTAAACAAAAAGTCAAAAAGGAAATAATAACTAGTAAACGCAAAATACAATGTTCTTGATGTAAAAAATTACATTGCATCTCCAAGAGTTCAAAAACGCAAATTCGCAGCAAATCAAAATTGTAGTCAATAAAATGAAAAGTACGTCAGCAAGTCGTAATGAGTATCCGCGTTGTAACGTATTGCCCACAAAATTTCCCGATTTTATTGTAAGTATAAGTAAGAAGTTAAATTAACAGAAGATCAAACAAAAATTAAATTATGAAGTGTACAGTAATACAAATTACCTGTGTTAACAATAGGTTGCGAAGCAGATAAAGGAAGTGGAAAAATAGATGTGTATAAGTTAACAGTCAAAAGCAAATTAATCTAGTCAGACCATGGCAGACGGCATTTATACAAAATTCAGTGTCGCTAGTGCGATACGTTGGCACCCCAATATTGAAATTCCGTAGTTCTGATTAGAGTTCCCGTTTCCTTTTGTCCAGACGAAGAGTTGTCTATAATTTATAACAAGAATTCCGCTTAATAACTATTTTTAAATAATTTTTTAAAAATGGGGTGCTAACTTATAATCGAAATTCGAGATCGAATAGTTCTGAGCGGCTCAATAGCTTTATTTAGTGAATACCTAGAGTTCCTGATGCATAAAAAAAAATTTTGAAAAATCCCCAAAAAATTAAAAATTTTTGAAAAATCAATTTTTAGATACAATAGTTCTGATTAGAATTCCTGCTTCCTTTTTACGAGACGAAGAGTTCTCTTTATTTTTTAGTGCGATATTCACTTAATAATAAATTTTAAATAATTTTTAAAAAATGGGGTGCTAACTTCTCAGCGAAATTCGAGATTGAATAGTTCTGAGCAGCTCAATAGCTTCATTTAGTGAATACCTAGAGTTTCTGACACATAAAAAACAATTTTGACAAACAAGAAAATTGAAAAACAAAAAAAACAATTTTTGATCAGTTCTTTAATTTCGCATATCTTGAATATCGATGGCCCAATTGCTTTGTCACCTGATACTTTTCGATAGAACTCATCGAGAACTCCCCAAAACGATAATCAGAACTCCTGGAACTCTTAAAAAATTTTTCGACGTGGGACTTACAAAATTTTCGACTAACTATCAAATATGTTATATTTCAAAAACCGTTGGCTCAATCGCTTTGTCACCTGATACTTTTCGATAGAACTCACCAAGAACTCCCCAAAACGATAATCAGAACTCCTGGAACTCTTAAAAAATTTTTCGACGTGGGACTTTGAAAATTTTCGACTAAGTATCAAATATATCATATTTCGAAAACCGTTGGCCCAATCGCTTTGTCACCTCATACTTTTCGATAGAACTCATCGAGAACTCCCCAAAACGATAATCAGAACTCCTGGAACTCTCAAAAAAATTTGTAGGTCGTCGAAAATTTTCAGTCCCACGTCGAAAAATTTTTTAAGAGTTCCAGGAGTTCTGATTATCGTTTTCGACAGTTCTCGACGAGTTCTTTTGTTTTTTAATTTTCTTGTTTGTCAAAATTGTTTTTTATGTGTCAGGAACTCTAGGTATTCACTAAATGAAGCTATTGAGCCGCTCAGAACTATTCGATCTCGAATTTCGCTGAGAAGTTAGCACCCCATATTTTAAAAATTATTTAAAAATTATTATTAAGTGAATATCGCATTAAAAAATACAGAAAACTTTTCGTCTCGTTAAAAGGAAGCAGGAATTCTAATCAGAACTATTGTATCTAAAAATTGATTTTTCAAAAATTTTTAATTTTTTGGGGATTTTTCAAAATTTTTTTTTATGCATCAGGAACTCTAGGTATTCACTAAATAAAGCTATTGAGC